TTTATTTTTATGTTTTCTGACAATAATGGACATACAATTTTTTTATCTGGACTACATTTTTATACAATGTGTCTATTTGGATACGTTATTGCAGTCTATTTAACTGGTGCATTTTTTTATCAAGGTCAGGTGGGTCATATATACTGTCTGTTCTCTGACCAGTTTTCGTCTCTTAAATATGTGTTGGGGCCCCTCATATGTTGTTTTTTTTACTAATCCTTTTTTAGAACCATTAACCCCTTAAGGACCAAACTTCTGGAATAAAAGGGAATCATGACATGTCACACATTTCATGTGTCCTTAAGGGGTTAAAGCATAGAAAATGTTTCTGAAGTTGTACTCTCATAATGTGAGGGACCTCAATACACCACATAAGAGACGTTTGCTGTTCAGGGTAGTTAAGAAGCAAAAATCTTTATTTCCCTAACTATGGGCAATATCATTACCTGAGAAACATGGTTACCCGTATCTTTAAAAAGGTTAAGGGCAGAATGATTATTGGTGGGGATATAAATTTTGTGTTGATTATTGGTGGGGATATAAATTTTGTGTTGGACTGTCAACAGGATATAATTAGAAAAACTGTAATATCTTTGAAAAACTATATTAGTGAATTAATTAATTCATTCATTAGTGGCTAATTCATGCTCCAAATTTCGTTTTTCACTGAACTGGTTTGACATTTGGCGGATCCAACATGAAGGAGAGAGAGATTACACCTACCACTCCACCACTTATAACATGTATTCCCGCATAGACAGGTTCTTGATGGGTGAGCAAATAATATCTTCTGTCATAACGTCTGGCATTTTAAATGTTAACTGGTCAGACCATGCCCCATTACGTTACACTTAGAAGAGTCCTTTCAGTCATCTCCATATTATAGGTCCTTTTCTGCCATATTAACCCCACATTCAACAGAGCTATTTAATCATTATTGGAAAACTGGTGAAATGCCTGGGGAGGCCTTGTGCGCACAGATTGTGATGTTGCCCAAGCCTGGTAAAGAACAAAATGTTTGTCAAAACATTCGCCCCATATCTCTAATCAATAATGATACCAAAATGTATTCAACAAAAATTGGCCTTAAGACTTGCACTAAACAGTCAGGCCCCAGACAGTACGAGATGATACATCAATTTGATCCACCAAATTAAGCTTAATAAAATGCCTTCTCTGCTCCTCTCTTTGGATGCGGAGAAGGCATTTGATAGAATCCATTGGGACTTTTTAAAAGAAGTTATGTCGCGATTTTGCTTACCAGAACCCTACATCCCAGCAGTATTTGCTCTTTATTGCTCTCCAACAGTAAAGGTCTCCACGACAGGATTTACATTGGATAGTTTTGCACTGTCTATCAGGAAGAGACAGGAGTGCCCATTGTCGTCACTTCTCTTTGTGCTGGCAATGGTACCCTTGACTGAAATGATTTGTGTAACGGACCGTTTTGCAAAAAAGGGGGAAAAAACGCTTAGACGATAATCCCCTTTCAGAGACAGGCACAGCTACTGTAGAATCACCAAAACTCACGAACTGAATACAAGTGAATGCTCCAAACTCCCGAACGGCATACAAGGGAATGCTCCAAACACTCGAACTGCATACAAGGGAATGGTCCAAACACTCGAACTGCATACAAGTGAATGCTCCAAACTCCCGAACGGCATACAAGGGAATAAGGTAGCACTCCAAATACACGAACAGGAACCATACGAATTGCTGCTACCAGACGAACAGGAAAAGCTCCCAAGCGGCTTACACTCCTGGCAATCAGTCCTTAGCAGCATACAGTAAATCCCCCCAAAGACGAGACAAGGCTCCGTGTTGAGGGTCAAGCAGTGGTCTGTTTAATGAGGGCTACCTGCCCAGTATTTATGCAGGTCTCCCACCTGGTGGACACTCCCCTAGGGGACCAAATGGGAGACTGTGACAAAAGACAGACAAGTAGACAAATAGGACACACAGTCACAATATATTCCCACAATGCATCCTGGCTTCCTCCCCTCTGCCCTGGGAGATAATTGGGAAGTAATTAAATTATCTCCCAAGACAAAGGCAAAACTCCATTACACATGTGGGGATACAAAACCAGTATTATACTTTAAAATACATAAAGTAACATTTATTACATAAAACACAGACATGTAACACATCCCCAGATAGCTCAGGTCTGAGCGCACATTATTAAGCGAATGGCGCTCAGACCACACGAATACAGTTTAATCGCCATACAGTTTCATACGAATGGGCTCCATGGGATTCCTATCTGGGGTATAACACATTCAACCAAAACTACCGAACACCGGGCCGTTCGTGCACTTCCACCGAACAAGAAGGGAGGTTGGCGTCTTCAGCGGTGTTCGCGCAAAACTGTGTCCGATTTTAGTTCCATGAAAATAGGGGCGAACACCGCTGTGCATTCGTATGTTTAAAATGGCTGCGACCTCGTGTTCGGGATACGAATGGAGGCCACCCAGCATTCGTCAATTAAGCTGCGGTTAACCGCAGCTTCAGGGAGGTTAATTGCCGGCACACTCCAGCTCCCAGGTGGTCTATTCATTCGTGCGATGGTTCGGTAGATTGAATATACCGAACAACTGGCAGAAAAGCACAAATACAGCTTTTCTCTAGGCAAAATAAAGTCTTTTAAAAGGGGGCCATAGTCCAGAGGCAGCAGGCGAGCAACCAGGCTTCTCCAATGCAATGTGGCGAGATTGGTCTTGTCACAATTTGCAATTGTACAGAGATAGAAGGCAATGCAGTTGGGGGCAAAGAACATAAGATTGGTCTTTTTGCGGATGACATTATGCTGTCTTTGAAAAATCCCATGTACTCGATTTCACCTCTAATGTCAATCCTGCATAAATTCAGTGAAATTTTATTCTATAAATTAAATACAAGTAAAACTCAAGCCCTTGCTTCAGGTTTGACTGGAGGGACTCTTACATTTCTTACTTGGTTATCAACTTAAAGATACAAGATGCATGATTAAAACTTGGGTAAGTTCTGGTCCACTTTTAGGAAAGACTTGGAGTGGTGGTGTGATCTCGAAATCTCCTGGATCGTAAGACTAAATTCTGTTAAAATGAATGTACTTCACAAAAATTAGTATTTTATCAGAGCCATGCTCTTTAATATTCCTTTATCTTTTTAGGAAGATTTATTCTGCCCTTTTGATGTTTGTTTGGAATAGGAAACCAAGCAGAATCAAGCTGAATATATTGCAAAAGCCCACGGTTAGTGGAGGAATGGGTTTGCCTGATTTCATTCATTATTTCCATGCTACTAATGCTACAGCTGACATCAAATTTAATCGAGATACTGAATGACCACTCTGGCTTGAGATGGAGGCAGACAAAATTCTTTCACATCTTATAAAAGAGGTGCTGTGGCTGCCCTCACCTCAAAGACGCATTTTACCAATATGTTCTCGTCCACAAAAGTTACAATCAAGGCTTGGGATACTATGTACAGGAAAATTAGACCCTGATCATTATGGTCCTGATCATCTCCCATATCAGTGTTAAAAGTAGGTATTCATAATTTTAACATAGACTACTGGTTATGTAACCACAGTGAACAGTAACGCAATAACGCACAGTGAACATTTATCCTCTAAGACACTTCTTACCTCTTCTCAACTGAAAACTATGTATGATTTGGACAGTTCAGACAAAGTAATGTATGAAAGAATGATTGACTCTGTGATTGATAGGTGTGGCCTTTCTGGACAGGGACAGAGTGATTATAAACTAGATATGTCTCTCATAGAAACATAGAAACATAGAAACATAGAAACATAGAATGTGACGGCAGATAAGAACCATTCGGCCCATCTAGTCTGCCCAATATTGAAAGAGTCTATTTATCGGACCCTGCTCAGAAACTGACAAGTTCTGTATGCTATGGTTTGTTGGCTGGATTGGTGACACAAAAGTTTGATTCGATGACTAAATGGGAAAGTGAATTAGGTAAAGGATATAAGCTGAATGAATGGTTAGATTTTACATTAGCTTTAAGGATCACCACACAGTGTGCGTCACATTTGGAATCCCACTACAAGATTCTATACAGATGGTATTTCACTTCCTCCAGGCTTTGTAAGCTACTATTGTCACCTACCAACAAGTGTTGGAGAGAGTGTGGTCAGGTGGGTTTCTTATTCCACACGATGTGGACATGCCCTAAACTGAAGTCTTACTGGGATGACATTCTAATTTTTATTAGACTTAGTGATGACTCCATAATCGTATTAACACCTGATAATTCAACTAAGCATATACGCATAATTTTAGGTCACGTTCTCCTCTCAGTCACTATCACTGGAAGTCTCCTGTAGTTCTGGATATTAAGGAAGTTATTAACCCATTGTTTGAAAATATGAGATGTAAAACTGTGCTTAGATCACCATCCAATACACTTGACCTTCTTAGATATGAATGGGATATCAGAGATAAATACATCAGACAGAGGTACAACTTAGATTCTTGACCCCACTTGACCAAAATGTTATGTGTACACTGTGACATTTTGCACCATAATATACTAGAATTGATTTATTGATAATTTACTACTACCAGATAATTATTTATTGCATTATACCCTGTTTAGTTTCTTGTAATCAGTATTTTATTTGTTTCATATTGATTGTTCATTTTATTATAATAATTTTACATTTTCAATAAAAACTATTTGAAAAGATAAAAATGAATTGCACACACATTTTGAAAGGCTAGGATAGCTCTATCTAGTTGCACCTGGGTGGTACATTCCCCGCCTAAGGATATGTGGTGTCTTCTTATCTTAAAGTGCAGTAGAACAAAGATACTTCATCTGGATACAGTTATTGTTATGTTATTATTTATATAGTGCCAACAAATTCCGCAGCGCTTTACAGTGGGTGGACGAACAAACATGTAGTTGCAACCAGACAAGTTGGACACACAGGAACAGAGGGGTTGATGGCCCTGCTCAATGAGCTTACATGCCAGAGGGAGTGGGGTAAAGTGACACAAAAGGTAAGGATAGTTTTATACTAATGACAGTTGCAAAAGAGGAAACAGTCGGGAGCTATTAACAGTTTAATTGATACGCTTTTATGAAGAAGTGGGTTTTTAGTGCCTTATGGGCTCACTGGCTTGTTGGTAAGTAGGTCATGTAAAAGACAGAATAAAATATATAGTGTTCACAGATGCCAATATATGTTTGATAAAAAATAGGAGAGGTTCTCACAAGAATGGAGCAAATTGGTATTGCTCACTACATAGCACTCAGTTGGTATTTTCCCCACCAAAGGAATATGTGGTCCCATGTTTTACAATGCACTGGGTCTCCTTGGAAGTAGGGGGAAAAGTAGTTGTAATAATTTAAGATCGATGTCTTAAACAATTCTATACTTCTACAAAATGCCTATGAGTCACAGTAAACTGACCTAATTCTCTGCCACAAAGTGTCCTTGGAAGACCTTTGTGAAGGTTGGCATTTGCAATCTGCCACAAACTAAATGCAGTGCAAAGTAATGAAGCTGCCATCTTCTATAAATCCAACTAAAGCCTATTTACTTATATCATCCCACGGAGGCAAAGAGCACTAACATGACCAAGCACGCACATTGTAAGTCAAATCTATTAGACATGAACAGAAAATAACAATAGTATGCAGATAAAACAATTTGCAAAAAAAGATAATAAAACATATTCAATATATTTTGTTATTAGTTGACATACATTTAATGATAATAATAATAATATATTTTCCTCCTCAAATTTATTTATTGTTTTGGGGATTATACCAAATCCGATTTTAAATATAAATCTTCCATATTGACCAGGGATGGTTTAATTATGGGTGGAAATGTCCATTTTCTCCAGAATGTAAGCCCTCGCCTCCAGAATGCTTCACAACTGGTAGCTAGCCATTACTTAAAGGACCACTATAGTGCCAGGAAAACATACTCGTTTTCCTGGCACTATAGTGCCCTGAGGGTGCCCCCACCCTCAGGGACCCTTTCCCGCCCGGCTCTGGAAGGGGGAAAGGGGTAAAAACTTACCTTTTTCCAGCGCTGGGCGGAGAGCTCTCCTCCTCCTCTCCGCCTCCGTTACGCCCCGCCGGCTGAATGCGCACGCGCGGCAAGAGCTGCGCACGCATTCAGCCGGTCTCATAGGAAAGCATTTACAATGCTTTCCTATGGACGCTGGCGTGCTCTCACTGTGATTTTCACATTGAGAAGCACGCAAGCGCCTCTAGTGGCTGTCAATGAGACAGCCACTAGAGGATTAGGGGGAAGGCTTAACCCATTCATAATTATAGCAGTTTCTCTGAAACTGCTATAATTATGAAAAAATGGGTTAACCCTAGAAGGACCTGGCACCCAGACCACTTCATTAAGCTGAAGTGGTCTGGGTGCCTAGAGTGGTCCTTTAAGTAGAACACTTTTTCCAGACAAGACTGCTAGGAATGGATACAATGAGCAATGAAGCAAGAAGCTTGATCATCGCCCCACTGTTCTAGCACAAATTTAGTTAAATAGTAAATAGCAAAAATTTATTTTTACACTTCAGTATTCTTGAATGTAATGGTACACATTTATTTTGTTGTGCTTTAATAGTTCTTTGTGTTTGCAATTATTAACTTAAAAAAAATGTAAATTGTAAATAACATAAAAAAATATACAGTATACATATTTAACTTAAAAAAAATGTAAATTGTAAATAAACATATTATTTGGTCAAAGTTTGGGTAACCCAATTAAAACATATATTTTAAAGAAATTTTTTTTAAAAAATTCTGTATTTTAAAGAAATTGAGGGTTAACTGCAGCCTAGCAATAAGCTTAATTCAAACAGGAGAAATGAACTTCTCACCTTAGAGTGACCGATGGATAAAGAGTGACATTAATTCCTCTTTACTGACAGATCAATAATGACAAGAAGATTAAACATGTGGTAGTGGAAATTAAAGCTAAAGCAGGACTTTCATAATTGCATTTAGAGGGATTCAAGGATATACACTCACTAGAATAGGTTTACCAAAAATAAAACATACAGATAGATAAATATAAAGTAATTGCATTACAGGCAAACATTTTTTTCTTCTAAAGTTGTTTTGTAAAGTTCTAAAGAAAAATGAAGTCTTCAGGTTCTCATAAAAAACTTAAAGGACCATGGGTTATGCATACTATCAGAAGAATATAAAATAATTACAAACTCTCACAACCACTTTAACGAGCTTGCTAAATTCACAAATTCGTATAAATGGGTACTACCTAGTGATGCTGAAAAATTATGAAAAGTTGTTAATAACAAGTAAAATAACACACATTTCTAATAAGACATATTAATAAGAGAAATGCTTTTATTTGTAAGCCATGTTTACAACTAGTGTTTGGTGGATAGTATCTAATATAGTCAGGTATTAGATCACTTGGGTCAGTTTTAGAGCACTTCACATGAACAAAACCTGATTTACCTGAAACGAATACCTAAATAGATTATTTTGATTGCTTTATAAATACTCCAAAAGTGATCTAAAAGCATTTTCTTTATAGTAAATTATACCAGTTTTCACAAACATTTTCATTTTAGGAGATTGGCAGTGACAGAAAAAAAGAGAAGTGTGAAAGAGTGTGAAGAGAGAATAATTACAACATCCTTAGTTCTGCATATGTACAGATTCAAAGTGCACATTGGCTGCTTAAAAGCTTTGTGAATCTCTGCGGAATATATTGGCGCGTTATAGATGCTAACAATAATATTGAAAGGCAACATGCTAACTTTATATACTCAGAATTATTGCACTTTGTAACTTAAACATTTGTGGTTATCCTTATCCGTATTTATTTGTAATTTTATTTAGTGACAGTATGTCAGTTTTGTTTAACATTTGTGTACCACAGTGCTTTGCATATTGTCTGAAAGTGTTTGCCATTTACTACAGTTACAATCAAGTGGAAACTATTGCATCTGCAGAGCATAGATAATAATGTAAGATATAGTATGAAGAAATTAAATACATATCTGGTGAAAAACCAAAATGAATATTTATTATTTTATGAAAATAATAAGTAGTATACCTGTAATTAAAGGGAAAAAAATGATGAGAAAACAAATTCAAAGTTCAAATTTAATTTTTTTTAAAGGAAATAAAAATGGAGAGAAAACAAATTCACATTATAGAGAACAAAGATGAAATAAAAAAATAAGTGATGTCTGAACATGCCCAGGATTGAACTCTCTTCATTAAATGCCTCACTAATCCTTTTACTCAAACACAGTTGAGCGATTGAGAAGAGGCTGTCCCTTGTCCTCTGATGCAAGAGTCACCTAAGAGTTTATAAAAGAAGAAGGACATCTATTTCCCATCTTCATTTTTGCTAAGGAAAAAAAGTAACATTTACAGATACGGTTAGTAAAGAAGGACAGAGAAAGAATTAGCACACGCAATTAACCTCACCATGGGGAACAGTAAGAGTGGAGCTCTCTCCAAAGAAATTCTTGATGATTTGAAAATGAACACAAAGTATTCAGAAGAAGAACTTTGTAAGTGGTATGAAAGTTTTAAAAAGCAATGTCCAGATGGAAAGATTTCCCGAACAGAATTTGAGAAGATCTATACCAATTTTTTCCCCAACTCGGACCCCAAGACATACGCCAGGCATGTTTTCCGTAGTTTTGATACCAATGATGACGGCACATTGGACTTCCGAGAGTACATCATTGCACTTCACCTTACCTCATCTGGAAAAACTAGCCTCAAGTTAGAGTGGGCATTTTCCTTGTTTGATGTTGACAGAAATGGTGAAGTCAGTAAAGTTGAAGTTCTTGAAATTATTACAGTAAGTAAACATTTTTATTCTAGAGGCCTTTATGCAATATATTAACCATGTAAATTTAAAAACAAACTAAAATTGCAAATACATCACAGGTGACATTACTTAACTTACTTGCTGTTGGAATAGGGATTTGTAATATAGGTAATAATAGGGTACTTAGGTACAGACACATCCTTGTTGTCTAGGGGATAGTATTTTATTTGATGTTCATGGAAATAATAGACTTGATTCTTCTGTTCTTGTGTTGAGTTCTATGGAACAGCATAGCAGGATGCTTCATGAGGTTTCACACAATATCCCACACTTTCCACAGTTCACACAGTATACATAGTATATATAATATATATTACTCCAGAATCCAAACAAGTATTTTTTTTACATAATACAGGGTCTGTTTTTATTTTGTACATTATGTTTTGAAGGTTATTTTTTAAATGACATATTTAGGAAAATAAATTAACATTATAAGCTCAAGGACACATTACAAAATACTTATACTCATCTCAAGTCATATGCGAGCTGAGAGATCATAGTTCACAAATACTCACATCATGATCACTTCATACATAACAAGCAAGCAAACACACGCATATAACTTGTTACACTTAAATCACAGACACATATGTTCCTTTCTTTTGTAACAATCAATGTCAATCTGGCAGCTAATATTGGCAATGACTTGCAGAAACAGGCAAAAGGAAAGCGATCTTGATAGATTTTCCCTAGCTCTATGGTAGCCTCACAAAGGTCCGTGTGTGTAGGTGTTCATGTTTGGATGTATATAATTGCATTTTGTTATTTCTTTGGGTAGATCAGTGTATTACATTTCAGATCATATTTCTTTGGGTTTTCTGCTGCTTTTTGATTAATTTAAAACTATAGTTGAGGCTTGGTTCGATAAAAATTAAAGACTCTACCTAAATACATTCATTTCGAATACATTTCAGTCGTCACGATGTGGAGAGACTTTTTTTGTAAAGAAGAATATTTTGCAGAAAGGTTTAGTAAAGTTATGGAAATAGATGACAAATGAGCTAAATCTTTCATCTTCTACACATTGAGCAAATTGAAAGTCTCTCTTTCTAAAAACACACACACGTATGCATATATATATATATATATATATATAAAATGCACATTATAGTGACTCATGTATAGGGTTCTGAAGACATTATAACAAACAGTGAGATTTCATAATGTATCATTTTTATACACAGTTGTATGTTGTTTAAATCACGTGATAAAGGCTATGAATTTAGCGTTAGAGCTAAATCTAGTATTTGAGTTAATTTAATCTTGGGGCTTTACCAAAACCTACCATATCTTGCCCAGGGCAGCATCTGCGATTTGCAGTTGCCGACATTTTAATACAGCCCTCTACCTATAATGATATGATGACAGAGGATCTGCAGATACAGGATCCTAATGTTTCTATCTCCTCAGATCCTTTCTCACTTTATCATTATTGGGCGAGAGCTGAGTCAAAATGGTAGCAGTTGTAAAACATGCTGCCTCAAGGGAGGCTAACTTGACTGAGCAATGTTTGTACGGGTGATGTCCCCACCATGTAATATGAGTTTGAAAACATAATCTCCACATTGGATTATATGTGTGTGTGGGTATGCACTCATGCACTTAATATGTAACACATTTTCATTAGCACATATCTGGCATCCATATGTTTCCACATTTTTGTAACTCTTTCCTGACCCCTTCCTCAGATATTAACCATAAGTCACTCTCATGTCTTGGATTGTATCAATATGAATAGGCAATTGTAGTTAGGGAGTAGGCTTTTTCCTGTAAAAGTAAAATCAGTTGAAAATCAGTATTCTATTTCCTTAAACATTGAAATTCACAAGCATGGTTTTGAATTGAAATACATTTCATTCTAACTGTAGAAATATAATGACAATGAAAGCTAGAATTAAATGTAAGATGAATATTACAACGTTGATCAATTACCATTCACATTTTGCCTTTTTATGGATTAACAGCAACATATGCAACATTTTACAACCTATTTTCCTACTTTCAGGAAAGGTGCAATGATTTTTTCCTTCACAGGTCCAGATATACTTTGCCCCTACCTTCTTGCAACACACACACACAAACACACACAGTCATACACTTGCACAATGTCCATGTCAGGTACTCACACATGGTCACACACATGCACAGTGTTAGAGACATACACTCTGTTAGACACATATACAAATATGCCCACTTTCAGACAAACATGCTTAAATGGACAGCAAATGCACAGACACATACACAGTCAGACAAGCACACCCAGAGACACACACTCAGAAAAAAACACACAGATGCAAACAAAATGTCAAACATAGAGACTTGCACAAACACACACTGTCAAATACACAGACTGTTAGAAATACAAACAGCCATAGACACATTCTCTCACAGACAGGCATCCACATTTACACATACATTCTCAAACACACACACACTGAAAAAGATTTTTATTAATATTGTTTGTATTGTATTGGTTTGTTATTCTTTTTAGATCCATCCAGTCTCCCTACCTTTGCTAGAGCTGAGGTGTATCCTTTCCCTGGGGTCCAGTAGGGAGATGCTCTAATCTTAATGTATTGCCTGTACAATTCCCTTACATGCCCAGTAGAAATGCCCGGGTGGCATTCCAGCTCCCAGAATCACTATAGGGCATGCAAGGAAGCTGTGCAGGCTATGGGATAGGTGTAACCCAACATGCAGAATAAAGCCAAACAGAACCAGGACAAGGAGACAAGTAGATAAGAGGAAGGAAAAATAATAATATGGAATAGGAATGTCAAGAAAGAAGCAGAGGTCAAGAGCTATAGAGGTACACAGAATTGATAAACTACCCAAGTTCAGGGATACAGAATTGAAAATAGTCAAAACAAGCCAAGATCAATAAGTCACGAATTAGAAATAAATAAAAAAAAAATAGGCTTTGGGGAAACCAGATAGGAAACCATAACAGGGCACTGAACAGATGTAAACTCAAGTATTTACAGGCCACAACCCCAAAACATGAGTGTGTGTTGGGAACGATGTAATAACATCATAATAGGGGTAGAGCTACAGCATCTGCTGTCATAAACACTGGCAAAGGTGTTGGAGGGTTTTAAACTGTGCGTGTGTTGCCTACTTGGCGAAGAAGGGGCACCAGGTGTGTGGCGTAACCTTACTGTGTACTATGTTACTGTGAATTTTTCATGTAATTAATACAAAATAATTAGCAACTGTGAATGCTTAGAAATATATAAATAATGCCTTACCTGCCAATCTTTAAAGGGGTATGTCACTGGAAATTACACCATTGAATAAAAGATTTAAATCACTCATGCCTTTTGTTAACCTTATTTGTATGATGCTTCATGCTTTTAAATTTGTAATAAAGATTTAGCTAATTACGTCACAATGCTTCTCATTCTAGGCAAAGAAAGAACAAACATTGTAAATTAAAGGGACACTATAGTCACCAGAACAACTACAGCTTATTACATTTGTTCTGGTGAGTAGAATCACTACCTTCAGGCTTTTTGCTGTAAACACTGTCTTTTCAGAAAAAATGCAGAGTTTAGATTACAGCCTAGTGATAACTTCACTGGCCACTCCTCAGATGGCTGCTAGAGATCCTTCCTGGGTCATGGCTGCCTAAAATGCATCCAAACATTCTGTATCTCCTCCCTCTGCATGCAGTCATTGAACTTTCCTCATAGAAATTCATTGATTCAATTAATCTCTATGAGGAGATGCTGATTGGCCAGGGCTATTTGAATTGTGCTGGCTCTGCCCCTGATCTGCCTCCTTGTCAGCCAATCCTATGGGGAAGCACTGTGATTGGATCAGGCTACCACTTGTGATGATGTCAGCAGACTGCTTGTTTTTCTGAGACAAACAGCATTCAGAGTTACAGCGTCAGGCTTGAATACAGTAAGATTTTGCTATATTTATGGAGGCATGTGGGGCCCAGGGGTGCTAGATTGTGGTTTTAACACTATAGATTCAGGAATACATGTTTGTGTTCCTGACCCTATAGTGATCCTTTAAGAAGAGTAGAAATGTAACTGTTTCATTTCTTTGCTTTTTTTGTATCCTTCTATATGCTGACTGCAAAGTGAAAATATACAGAGCTTATATCACAGAACACTAAGATGGAGGCACCCATTTGCAAGATAAAGTGGTTTGGATTTCTACATTTAATTTTATTTTTCACTCCTTACAAATACATATTTGTTAAATATAGGATATGTAAACATAATAGTAATAATCTTGGGAAATTATATTTTTAATTTACCCTCATCACGATTATGTATGTAACATCTTTTTATAATATAAATGTTTGGAGTATTTTATTATATTATTATAGAAATATTATTATAGAAATAGTTATAACAAAACAGCATACACGTCAATCACAATCCAGATTTAGCTTTTGGTAGAAGATATGTGTAAGACCAGAGCAGTAGTTTAGTCAAAAAGGGTTAATGTATTTATTGACCTTTTATAAATGATTGATCATGCATTTCTTAACCCCTTAAGGACGGTGGGCGTGCTATGCCGACCTTGGGGACCCGGCTCTAAATGTGGGGGTGGGGCGAAGGGTGGCATAGCACGTCCCTGTCGTCCTTTCTACCTACCCAGTGTGGGGAATCACCTGGCAGCAAAAGGTGTTTCAAAACAGTAAAATGTATTACAACAATGATATCATCAGTGAAAGTGACATTTGTTGCATTTTTCACACACAAATGGCACTTACACGGACAATATAATTGTAGTGATACGTTTTACTGTTTTGAAACACTAATATTTGTTTTCTGCAAAGTTTCCTGGGTATAACAGTACCCCTGGTGTATAAGTTTTATGGTGTTTTCAAAAGTTACAAAGACAAATATAAGGCTTGCGTTTCAGTTTTTTCACATTGAAATTCGCCAGATTGGTTACGTTGCCTTTGAGACCGTATGGTAGCCTAGGAATGAAAATTACCCCCATGATGGCATGGTTGCAAATGGGGTATGTCCAATCTTTTTTAGTAGCCACTTATTCATAAACATTGGCCAAAATTGGCATTCAAATTAGTTTTTGCATTTTTCACACACAAACAAATATTAACATTAACGTCAGTGGCGTACATACCAGGGTCGCAGGGGTAGCGGCTGCGACCGGGCCCGGCCCACCTGGGGGCCCGGCCGCCCCTGCGACCCGGTATGTACCCACAGGGCCAGCCTCTTCCCCTGGGGGGCCCAGGAGCCGACCACCCCAGGGCCCCCCGAGGCTGACCCTGCTGACACCCGGAAGGCGGGTGGCCGGTCGGGCAGGCGGGCGCACGAGGGAGCACTCAGTGCTTCCTCTTCAGCTCCCTCGCGCACCGCACTGATGCTGGAGCCGGAAGATGACGTTATCCCTGCGCGGCGCGCGAGGGAGTTGAAGAGGAAGCACTGAGTGCTCCCTCAGGCGCCCGCCTGCCCGACCGGCCACCCGCCCAGGAGCCCAGCAGCACCACTGGACCCCAGGGAATCCCCCCAGCACTCCAAAAGGTAAGGAGGATGGGGGGTTTACATTTAAAAAAAAAATATGTGTTAGTGTTAGTGTTTGAGTGTGTGTGAGTGTTAGTGTGTGTGTCTGCTAGTGAGTGTTAGTGTGAGTGTTAGAGTGAGTGTTAGTGTGTGTGTCTGCTAGTGAGTGTTAGTGTGAGTGTTAGAGTGAGTGTTAGTGTGAGTGTTAGAGTGAGAGTGTGTGTGTCTGCTAGTTAGTGTGAGTGTTAGAGTGAGTGTTAGTGTTAGAGTGAGTGTTAGAGTGAGTGTTAGTGTGTGTGTCTGCTAGTGAGTGTTAGCGTGTGTGAGTGTTAGAGTGAGTGTTAATGTGTGTGTCTGCTAGTGAGTGTCAGTGAGTGTGTTACTGTGTGTGTCTTACTGAGTGTGTGTGTGTTAGTGAGTCTGTTTGAAGTCTGTTAGTGAGTGTGTGTTTGTCAATGAGAGTGTATGTTTTGTAAGTGAGTGTGTATGTATGTCTGTCGCTGACTGTGTCTCTGTCAGTAAATGTGTGTGTCTGTTAGCTAGTGTGTATGCGTCTGTAAGTGTGTGTGTGTGTGTCTTCAGCACTTACCTTTCTCCAGCGCCGGACTCCCTTGGCGCTGAGGATCCCTCAGCCTCTCAGCTCCGAATGCCCGCGCACCGCCATAGGAAACCGCCCATTACCAAGCCCATTACTCAATGCTTTCCTATGGACGTTCAGTGTGCTCCTCTAGCGGCTGTCAGTGAGACAGCCACTAGAGGCTGGATTAACCCTCAGTGAAACATAGCAGTTTCTCTGAAACTGCTATGTTTTCAGCTGCAGGGTTAAAACTAGGGACCTGACACCCAGACAACTTCATTGAGCTGATGTGATCTGGGTGTCTGTAGTGGTCCTTTAAAGGACCACTATAGTGCCAGGAAAACATACTCGTTTTCCTGGCACTATAGTGCCCTGAGGGTGCCCCCAACCCCAGGGCCCCCTTCCGCCGGCTCTGGAAGGGGAAAAGGTGTAAAACTTACCTTTTTCCAGCTGGGCGGAGAGCTCTCCTCCTATCCAACTTTCCTCCCCCGGGGCGCACGCGTGGCAAGAGCTGCGCGCGCATTCAGCCGGTCACATAGGAAAGCATTCATAATGCTTTCCTATGGACGCTGGCGTGCTCTCACTGTGAAAATCACAGTGAGAAGCACGCAAGCACCTCTAGCGGCTGTCAATGAGACAGTCGCTAGAGGAAATAGGGGAAGTCTTAACCCATTCATAAACATAACATGGCAGGTGCCCACCGCCATGTGTTGCGGCCCGGCCCGCGGGGGGGGGAGGGCCCACGGATCAATTTTCGCACCGGGGCCCCATGGGTCATGTGTACGCCACTGATTAACGTTGTGACCAAGTGGCTACTAAAAAAGACTGGACATACCCCATTTGCAATACCTTGGGTTGTCTACTTTTGCAAATGGTATGCCATCATGGGGGTAATTCTCATTCCTGGGCTACCATACGGTCTCAATGGCTACATAACGAATCTGGCAAATTTCAATGTGAAAAAAAAAAATTTAACATGCTATATTTGACCCTGTAACTTCCCAAAAGACCATAAAACCTGTACATAGGGGGTTTTGTTTTACACATGAGACATTGCTGAATACAAATATGTGTATTTTATTGCAGTAAAAGCAAACAGCATTATGACATTCACAGTTAAAAACGTTTTAAAAATTCTTATTTTCTCCCATTTTTTTATATTTTATTCATATTAAATTATGTTTTATACCTAAATATTTGATGTTAAACGAGCCCTGTTTCCTCTGAATAAAATTATATATCATAATTGTGGGTGCACATAATATAAAAGAGGCGAATTAAGCCTGAACAGACATATAGCGCAAATTCAAGTTTTTGTTTACATTTTGTTTTGATCACAACGTGTACATTTGGCTCAGTTCTTAATGTGTTAGATGTGCTGCTGGGCGAGAGAGAACCTCTGGAAATGTTTTCTGATTGTATTTTTCTTTATTACTGAGTGGATACTGTGCAATTATATCTACACCTATTTTAACTAGAGAAATAGGTGATTCATTATTTAATTGTTTCCTCTACTAGTTTTTCCAGTTAATATACCAGTGTCAGGAAAACTACATCTTTGTGTAGTAAACCAAGACACAAAGATGAAATAAGATAACCAGTGTAGCAATATAGCAAGAGACTCTATACAAAAAAAGTATTTGTAATTGTAGAATCATAATTGAAAGCCTTGGATAGTTGGAGTGTTGCGATTGTATAAAACAGTTGCAATACCGCAGTGTTGGAGTAGATTTAGAGTAAATAATATAGCTAATAATTGGAGATCCAAAACTGTTTAAGGGAATATATCACTCTCAAAACAACTTCATCGCAATAAAGTGTTTTTTGGACTTGAGTCTGTGTGTGCAGTCTGAGCTTGGGCACCAACAGTACATAATGTTCAATCCACGGTAGTGTTTATGGTGCACTAACACCCTCCCAGAGTAAGGAGTCAAACTGCTTGCACAAAAGTAGAAGTTGAATGTGTCCCCAGAGCTAAGTCTTTGCTGTAGTGGTTATGGTACTTGGAGTATTCCTTTAACTTTACAACACATACAACACAAATGTTGCAAAAAATATCTATTGGCATGGTAAGGACTAATGATTTAGTGTGTGTTAGAATAACATGTTATGTCCTCCCTAAATGTATTGATTGTCTGGAGACACCAATGAGAGACTGAGCAACTAATAATGTCAAAACATGAAAACATTTTGAAACAAATGCTTTATTTTATGGATATAGATCTCTCAGACATATTTCATCTGCTCTAACAAGGGATTTCACATCACTTATTGGCTTTGCCTGGACATCCTAAATGACAGACATGCATATTGTCCTGTCTTCTGCAGTTGTTATAGGATAACAGCATCAGGGATGAAGTCTTTAAAGTGATTTTGTTTCCATAATATTTGCAGGTGTACGGTTATTAACAGTATAGGATGTCTCATTGGGTTAGGGGTCAGAATCAGATTTCAAGGGTAGAGTATAGTGCACCATCTTTGAACTGCTCCTGCCACCAAAGGGAATACGTAAGCATAATATCAAAAAATCCTCGGGAGTGACAGTTCTTTTTTTAAGTCTCTTTGATGAGATAAAACACAAGACCAAATCTGTTTGCAGCTTGTCAGTTTGTTTTAAGCTGTGCTTAAGTAAAAGATTGGATTTTAAGGAAGCAGTCCAGCATCCTGGGATTCATTTCGTGTACAGCCTTTTTGCTCTGATTAGCAAGAATGCTGAGACAGAAAGGAAAATAAATACTAATAGCAAGGTACAGATGGTGCATAGTAGGATTACATTGTGGAGCAAATCAACCACGTAAATAAAGTGCTTAAGCAGATTGCTAAACAGATTAGATTAAAAAAGAAACAAAAATTGAGAACTCTCAGTTCTAATTGTATTGGTCTGTGCTGGCTGAGGATTATATCTTTTAAGATCACAGACCAAGTGTAAAAGAGCAGCTCGAGTTAAAGTACTAGCCTTGGAAAGAGCCTAGACTATCATGTAACGTGATTCTGGGTATACAATTATAAGATGTCAGGGCTGGTAATGTTATAATTTCACAATATATGATTTTAGGATCCAATAATCTACCTCAGGTCATATATTGTGAAATTATAATTCACAGTCTAGAATTAGATGTAAAAAACAGATAAAATTTGTATCTTGTGATACCTTTTTTATTGGACTAACAGAGTTTTTTAATGACAACCTTTCGGGAGAACCTCCCTTTCTCAAGTCTCAAGCATTTCTGAGCAAAGGTGACACATAGAATTCAAAGTTGAGTTGTGATACAGGGGTAAAAGCTACATGAGTGCAGATAAGACATAGGTTTGATAGAAAATAGACACCATTCTCGCAGACGGTCATAAATATCTTGTGTGAAGATCACATAGTGAGGGGAGGAGAGAGAAAAAAAACAAGCAAGCAGTGCAGAAGATGGTGCTAGAAAATTCAACTTCAACTGTTTTTCACAACCGCATCACCAGACCAACACGGCCAATCTCTACTTGAACAATATATATGAACATTGGCTTAAATATGCAGAAGGTAGCTGTTAGTGGAAAATGTTCAAGCATGACAGAAGTGATAAGTGGCGTGCCTCAAGGTTCTTTCTTTAATTTGTTTATTAATAGTCTTGCATGGGCTTTGAAAGCTGTGTGTTATTTCTTTTGCAGATGATACACAACTAGGCTAGGTAAAAAAAAGTGTAAGCATCATATTACTTGTCTGCAAATGGATACATTAGGGTAGGGCTTCCCAAACTTTTATGGGCCGAGAAACACTTTTCAAAAAGGTAATTTTTCGAGACCCACTTGCTTTTAATGCATATTTTAAAAATCGAACACCATGGCAATCAGCTTTAGAGGCATACAATTAGCACACTATAGCAATTAGTTTTAGAGGCATAAGATTGGCATACCATGGCAATCAGTTTTAGAGGCATACAGTTGGCACACTATAGCAATCTGCTTTAGATGCATACAACTGGCACACCATAGCAATCAGTTTTAGAGGCATAAAATTGGCACACCATGCAGATTGGCACACCATGGCAATCTGCTTTAGATGCATACAACTGGCACACCATGGCAATCCGCTTTAGATGCATACAATTTGCACATCATGGCAATCAGTTTTAGAGGCATACAACTGACAGAACATGGCAATCAGCTGTAGAGGCATACAATTGGCACACCATGGCAATCGGCTTTACAGGCATACAATTGGAACATTATGGCAGATTTAGATGCATAAAATAGGCACACCATGGCAATCAGCTTTAGATGCATTAAATAGGTACATCATGGCAATTAGTTTTAGATGTATAAACTTGGCACATCATGGCAACTTTAGGTGCATAAAATTGGCAATCAGTTTTAGAGGCTTACAATTGGCACACTGTGGCAACCAGCTTTAGAGGCAAACAGTTTTAGAGACATGGTAACGCTCTGGGTGCTCATGAGACTTCTATCACACGGTCTTCAGCTCTGCACCCGGCGGAGCTGCAGACTGGAGGTGCTGGGCAGACGGTTTGGAGGAAGCCCGGCGGCATACAGGGCAAGCCGCCCGGTCCCCTGCCGGTGTCGGGCCTGCAGTCATCGAACCAGGGCCCGACTAATCAGTCTGCCTGCCTGACTCCCAAGTCCCCGGCGGCCCTGGATGTGTGGGTCAGCGCGACCCACTGGGAATTGCCCTGCGACCCGCACTTTAGAAACCGCTGCATTAGGGGCCTGGGTGTGCAAGTGGATAGTGAAGTTTAAGTCAATGAGATCCAAGACTCCCCCGAGAATTTTATTTTTCCCCAGTTCCTTTAAATCTCACCCCTTGATATGTTAGATACCTTTTGTACTCCATCCTTCCAAATGAGAAATCATGCCTTGTTCAAAACCATAATCATCTAGAAACATGGGAGATGATACCTTT